TTACGAGAAAGTTCCAATCCTCATCATTAACTCTATCACCATGTCTTTTCTTCAATTCCTCATCTGTTAAGTTCTCATCAAAATACTGCTCCTTTAGGGTTGCCTTAAATTCCTTCCACTTCCTTGCAGCGGTGATTAAAAACCAATTCTTACCAGCATCATCTATATCATAGAATTTTTGTTTTTTTCATGGAAAAGTACAAAATCAGTTTTACACAAGAAAACAACATATTGTTCTAGTACATAACCATACCACATGTTCTAACAGAAAACAGCATACTGTTCTAGCATAAATAAACTGACATTTGATTGAGTTATTTTTTTTGGCATCAATAAAAAATAGCATACTATTCTAGCATAAATTTACCTGTACTTCATCCCAAACTGCATCCTTTTCTTCAGCATCAATAAGCCTCCAATCAGAACAACGAACTGATAATTTCTTCCTCGCCAGGCAACCAATAACACTAGAAAGTAGCCTATAATTCTTCCCTACAGGCTGACCATATTCATTAAGGGTAATTATGATTTTCGGCATGTCAGATGTCCTTGCAAATACAGCCTTCATTCTAGTGATACTCCTCCCATTCCTTTTCTTGTGTGGACTAGTGTGAACATCTGTTACAAGCAATTTTAATCATGAGAAACAGCTCAAATGACAGGATATGATATTGTTGCAATAACAAGATAGAAGACATGGTATAATACCTTCGTTGTCACATAAAAACTAAGGGCTCCTTTGTAAATTACTAAGGGCTCCCCTTCCTTACGTCTCTTCCTAGTTGGTTTCTTTCTAGATGGATCATTGCCAAAACTATTACTAAGATCTTTAGTGCACTCCAAAATTTCTCTCTAGAAAGTGGTTTAGATGCTGGCCTAACCTCAGTTGTACCACCAAATTTATTGGCATCAAACCTAAATGGGTGATTTTTATGCCAGAATCTTCTATGACCCATATAGCAAGTCTTCATACCATTACCAAGTCTAAGTGAATCTGTAAAGAAGTGACAATCTAGACAAGCAGCTTCACCAGATGTGATAGATCCAGACACATATCCTAGACCAGGGAAATCAGTAATAGTCCACAATACTGCTGCCCGCAACTGAAAGTACTCGCCTCTTGAAGCATCATAAGTTCTAACACCATGTTCAAACATATCTAACAAGTCATAAATAAATGGCTGACAATAGAGATCCATATCACTACCAGGAATCAGATAAGATAGGATGAAATTTGATTGCTTCATGCACATTGAAGGTGGAAAGTTGAAGGCAATACAAATACCAGGCCAAACACTATATCTAACATTCATGGTTCTAAATGGATTAAAACCATCAGTGGCGAATGCTAGACGTATGTTTCGGCTATCTGCAGCAAACTGTGGATGCTTTTTATCAAAGGCCTCCCATAGAGGTGAATCTGCAGGATGCCTTAGTAGACCATCCTTTTTCCGGTCTTCATCGTGCCATCTTGTTAGCCTTGCTGTTTTTTAGGACAAAAATAACCTTTTGAGTTGTTTCTTTATAGGAAAGTAACGAAGAACCTTCCTAGGAACCTTATGAACACGTTTTCCATCTAAACTCTTCCTTTCTGATTTCCATCGTGAAACCTTACATTTCGGACACGAATTCAGATCCACATTCCCCTTCCAATAGAGAATGCAATCATTTTCACATGCATGAATACTATTGTAACCAATTCCAATGGATTTCATCAATTTCTTAGCTTCATGAAATGTTCTAGGTAGTGCTGAACCCTTAGGAAGTGCATCATTAAGTAGATCTAAAAGCAGATTAATAGATCTATTAGACCATCCTCCAAGAAGTTTGATATGGAGCAATCTAATTAGGAACCTTAGTTGTGAATATTTCTTGCAATTTGGGTACAACTCCTTGTTATTTTCTGCTACCAACTTCTCAAGGGCAACTAGTTCAGGACAAGGCTCTAGAGTAACCGTTGTCCTCAAAATCTCCTCTATCATCCAAACCAGCAGCTAAGTCTCTAAGAAAATCAGATATATCATCATCCTCACTAGAATCCTCTATAAACTCAGCATCATCATAATTCCCATCATCACGATTCACATGATTCATTGAAGAGCTACCTTCTCCATATAAGGTCCATGTTCTATACCCTTTTAGAAACCCATCACATATCAAGTGCTCACGGACTTCACTTGCCTCTTTTCAAAATGAGTTAACACACTTTCTACAAGGACATAATATCTTGCTGCCTACCGCTGAATTCCTAAATGCAAAAGCTAAGAAACTGTTCACCCCTTGCAAATATGTCTTGGTGTGCCTATATGAAAATTTTAGGTTAAATTCCATTTTACCTAAAAATAGCACTCTCAGTAGTTGTGAAGTTATTATCTTTTACCTAGCATTATCATCAATCCATGTTTTATCCATCATCAACCTTTATGCAAGAGATCCAACAGCTTACAGTACTAAATAAAAAACACATCACAAGCATTGAAATAGTTGCATACTTTGACAATACTAAAAAAAAAGATGAATAGCTAGCGAAAGGCAGGACCCTACCGATGGAAACAAGGAGAGCTGCTGCCACAATATCATTCGAACGTCTTCTCAAGGTGTGCAAGTAGAACTACCTGTTGTCCAGCAGCAGCAACACCACGCTCAACACCTGCGCCCATACAATGAGAGTTGTTGAACAAGATAAAATCACAGAACACAAAAACTATAAATATATATATATATATATATATATCCTAACGCAGCAGTTTAGTTCTGGACTTATGACCTGAAATTGCTGAAGGCTTGGTCCACAGCACGTTTCCACAGCAAGCAACCAACACCACAGCACAAGCAGACTAGCAAAGTGAGTTCCGGCCAATGGAGAAGCTGCCCTTGCCCGTCGCCAAGCAATGTCCAAGAAAGCAAAAAGATTAACGACATTTAGCTAAAACTAATTCATTCAAAACCAAAAATGAATCTTTGAGACTGCTGAGACTAAAGTTTGAAGAAAATCACCGCTCGGAGTGACCGACTGCTGAAAATGAAGCCTGGCACCACACGGTTGGAGACTGCGGCTCCCAGCGGGGAGTGGCCCTCCTGCGCGGCGCGGCCCTGCTGCTAGGCGTGGTGGTGCGCCCCCCTGCTCGGCGCAGAACCTGGGAGTAGCGGCGGCGTGGACCCCTGGGAGCGGTGCGGACCCCTAAGAGGGGCAGCGGTTTACGTTTATGCATCATATTATCCCAAAGGCTGGGTCTGAACGAGTCACATATGCTCCAAGGATCTTCAAAAACTTCAGAAGACACCCGGACGACTACTAATAAATTATATGTACTGCTACTACTGCTACAGCATGTCATTTCTGAATAAAGTAAGAGTCACATATGCTACAAGGATCTTCAAAACTTCAGAAGACACCCGGAAGACTACTACTAAATTATATGTACTGCTACTACTGCTACAGCATGTCATTTCTGAATAAAGTAAGAGTCACATATGCTACAAGGATCTTCAAAAACTTCAGAAGACACCCGGAAGACTACTACTAAATTATATGTACCGCTACTACTGCTACAGCATGTCATTTCTGAATAAAATAAGAGTCACATATGCTACAAGGATCTTCAAAAACTTCAGAAGACACCCGGAAGACTACTACTAAATTATATGTACTGCTACTACTGCTACAGCATGTCATTTCTGAATAAAGTAGGAAAAGATGGAGCATGCCTGTTACCTTGGAGAGGATGGAGCTTCGCTGGTGGTGTTGCTCCTGCTGAGCGCACGGACGGGGATGGCGGGGCCGTTCGTGAGATGCAGAGATGCAGCGCCGGTCGTGACCTTGCAGAGATGCAGCGTCGGTCATTTCTGAATAAAGTAAGAAAAGATGGAGCATGCCTGTTACCTTGGAGAGGATGGAGCAGGGTCACGTCCGCTGGTGGTGTAGCTCCTGCTGAGCGCACGGACGGGGATGGCGGGGCCGTTCGTGAGATGCAGAGATGCAGCGTCGGTCGTGACCTTGCAGAGATGCAGCGTCCCTTCCCGTAGATCCAGAGTGCGCGGCAGACGGGGAAGGGGCCCGCCCGCAAGCACAGCTGCAGGGGAGGGGAGGGAGCCGGCCGGGAGCGGAAGCAGCCGGGGAGAGGAAAGAACCTAGCGGCGCAGACCCCTGGGAGCGGCGCGACACCCTGCAGCAGCGGCGGCGCGGACCCCTGGGAGCGGCGCGGCCGCCTGCAGTGGCGTGGCCCCTGGGCGCGGCCCCTGCCTGCAGCAGCGGCGCGGTAGCACTGCAGCAGCTGCTGGGATCCGGGCCCTGGACCGTGCGTGGCGGCGATTTGGGATGGAGGGAAGGGTGGCAGTCTTTTTTGTTTCACGGAAGGAAGGGGATAAGGTGATAAGGGGAGCGCGAGCCAGAAAAAAAAAAAGTGACGGCCATGAATTTTTTTTACGCGCTTAGCAGGGTTTCCGAGATTGGGTTGGGCAAATTTTTGGCGCGAATCGGTAGCTGCAGCATGCTAGATTTTAGCTCTATATACACCGACCGATTGTTCGACGTTATTATTGACCTATACCGTCCGACAGTTCGACTCTATCTATAGCGATCGATGTATAGCCGCTGAAGGCGCCTTTACCGACCGATGGTTCGTTGGAATTCTTTACCGACCAATGTTACATCGCTAAATAACTAGTTTTAGCGACCGATGTCTGACGTTAATTCTGGTGTGTGGTATAGTGGCAAAAACTAGCCTGTTTGATCCCACCCAGTTTTTAAAAACCAGATTCTTAAAAACTAGTGGGATCCAAACAGGACCTCAGGTGTTCGTATAACATCAAACTTTTATAGGGACTCATCTATGCTAGTTTTCTTTAGATCCTGATTATGTAATAGCTAATTTCTTTCAAAAAAAAATATGTGATAACTAAGTAGTATAAGCGTAATGTGATTCATACAAAAAGAAAAACTTTTTTACCCTCATGTTCCTTCACACTTAGAATGCTTAACGTGGTGAACAGGCACTTACCAGCTTCAACTGCATTTCTAGCTGCAATCTTGAAATCATTGACAACTAAAGGCATCTCATGAGTGTCTAATCGCCTTGGAGTTGAGAAATTTGCAATATCTATGCCATTAGTTCTCACTTGAGGCTTTAGTAGCTTATCGGTGCTGGATATTGGAGCTTGGCCATTAGGCTGAAAACCTACATCATACAGATTTAAACATAAACCAGTGTTATGCCTTGAAAATTAAGAAACTCTTCGGTACACTTTAGTAGGACTGAACTTTACAGATTTGGATGCAACAACATATATGCCATATGTGTTATTATCATAAAAATTGCCAATTGTTTGTAGAGAGTGTTCTGCTGTTAAAAAAAATTGATTTTCATGCAAATTTGAGGTCTTCGTGCTGACAATAAACCGTGTTACCAGTACATTTGTTTTGAGAACAACTTTATATTAGGGATAGCAAACATACTGCAACTAGAGACTCTTTCTGCATGCCAAATCTGGCAGAAAAATATGCCTCCTTTTTCATGAACCGCGTCTACTTGGTTTCCATGCTTCCACATGTTCCTTTGTCCAAATGCCAGGAACATTATTGTACTAAGGAGGCGCACTCTTTAGCCATACTGACTATTTGGCTTATTTGGAAGGAGAGAAACGCCAGAGTTTTCAACGAACCATCGAGTGGGGAACAATCTGTCTTCACTAGGATCAAGGACGAATGCTCTGACTGGGCTTCAGCGGGAAGGCGGGGGCTTAGTTTCCCAAGGATTGTTCTAAACAACATGAGTAATTAGCATAGGTTTTCTGGTAACCCACACGGCGGTCTGCTGTGTGGTTTAGCGCCTCTCGCGCATGTGTTTGCAACTCTAATTCTTGCTTATTAATATAATGCCGGAAATCCGAATCTTCAAAAAAAGATAATACTTCCAAGCAGAGATAGTGCTACACTGAGATAAGCGTTTTATAAAAGGTACATGGTACAACAAGCTAAGCAATCGTTGTGTCATCGGTTCCAAATAATGGTTTCTTAGCATCGACGCAAAAAGAGATATTCTGACGACATGTTTTTTTTTATAAAGCTGATCGGCGGCGAACAGTTAGGGCCTTAGGGGCTTGGGAAGAGAGAGAGGGAAAGGAAGGGTAAGAAAGATACCTGTGGGAAAGATCAAATTTCCCCATCTTGTATGGGGTGAGCAGCGGGATTGTACTAGCAGTCTAGCACTAGCACTAGTCTTGCTCATCTTCTTCTCTTCTTACTTGTTCTCTCTACCTCGAGCTTTTCGTGGGAGAAGGTAGTGATCGCTGGAAGAAATGAAGTTGAGAGGGGTGTCAGTGTCACAAGCGTATTTGACGGGGCCGATGATTCCGATCAGGTTCGTCCTCGAGGAAAGTGATGACCATTGACCAGGATGGTATTTTCTCCATTTTTAAACAGGTGACTCCGCTCCACTACTCACCAGTGCATGTCTTACATCACCCTTTGTGTTTATTACAAGAGCATCTCCAAAAGTTCCTAAAACACTCTCTCAATCCAAGATTTTTGGTAAGATTGAAAAAAATACATCTCCAACAACTTTCAATCATACCTCACAATCTTTTGGCAACTTGAAAAACTTATTATTTTTTGGAACAAAATTTTGGAAACTCTCGGAGATGCTCTAAGGTAAAGTTCATTTGATCCCTGAACTTGTCACTGAGTTTGAAAAAAAACACTCAACTTAAAATCCAAAAACTTGCATTCTTCAACTTTCAAAACTCGATAAATTATCCCCTACACTAGTTAAAAGTAGTTTTGAGGGTGGTTTTTAGACATATAATCCTTTTTTACTTAAAAATAAATCCGGCAAACATTATATAAGAATTTTTAAGCCACAAAAAATATCTTGGAACCTTAGGTAAAAATACCCTCTCGTCTGCCCCGAGTTACCCAAAGCACAGGTTTGTGACACCAGCCTACTCATAGGGTAACGGACCCCTGTATGCAAGCGGGGTATGAGGTTCGGGGGTTTTTTCGGACTAGATAATGAATCCACTACCTTAATGCAAAATACTTGGGCCGCATGCTATCCCCCCGCATTTCAAAAAAAATTTAAGAACCCTGAGAAAAGTCGGAGACATTAGGACAAGAGACCACTCCTTTAGAGCTTATGATTATCCCTTGTTTCTAGAGTTGGCCGCAGTTTTTGAAAGCTTTTTCAAGATAATTTCATGAGCTCTAAATATTTTATTTGGACATCTCTTGTCATAATTCATGTCTAGAATTTTTCTCAGATTTTCCGTAGGCTTAAAATATCTTTCATGGTTTCAAAACCTTGGATTCGTTCGCTGCTGCTACAGTTGCAAGGTCCCTCACCCGGCACTATAGCAGTACCAATAAGTGGCTGCAGTAGCCGCTGCTTTATTGCAGCCGGACATGCCACTTATCTAATGTTTACTAGATTTGTTTTTGAACTCAAAACAAGTGGTGTGACTTAAAACCACTTTAAACTTTTGTACAAGTAGTCTTTTTTATTTTAAAAATCGGAGGAAACAAGATTCCTTGTTTTTAAGTTGAGAGGGTTTTCAAATTCAGACAAGCTCAAAGTGTCACATTCTGTCTCTAGCCCTGCCTTGGTATATTAATTACGATTTGACCAGAGCTGCATTATTCCTCTGTCCTAAAATAAAGATAGTTATGGAATATATACATGTCAAACTTTTTTAATTTAATTAGGTTTGTAAAAAATACGTGCAATATTTATATCTTTAAATAAGTTTATTATGAAAGTACATTTAACGATCTATCTAATTATACTAATTATATATTATAAATATTATTATTTTTATATTTGGTAAAAATTAAAATTATTTAACTTCTCAGAAAGTAAGATAGATATATTTTGGAATAGAGAGAGTATTCGTCAATCCTTTGGTGGGTGCAACAGAGAGCTAGCAAAGACAGAAAGGTGAGCTGCTGTCCGTTGGTACCCCCACCAGACCTGCCAGCAGGAGCAGAGGAGGGCCGTGCATGCCTGTCGGCACCGGGGTATATGGGCTGAACTCTGGCGTTAAGGCTCGGCCACGTCGGCACATGTCCATGCTGCTAGCGCCTCTAACCTCGGTGTAGTGACGTCTTACCTTGCCGCTAGCTGAGGGTCTAAAGATGGGTTATGTGACGTCCAATGTATAAATATGAATTTTTGATAGAAAAAGAGCTAAATTGAAAAAAAATCAGTCAGCAATGTTTAAAGACGATGTCTTGGATCTACTCACTACATCTAAATTATAAGTCATTCCAACTTTCTTGAAGAGTCAATCAATCTCAAGTTTGATCAAATTTATATAATAAAATAATAACATTTATGATACTAAATAAGGATCATAGATCATTAATTATATTTTCTTAACATATCTATTTAATGTCATATATAATTTTAGTCAAACTTGAGATGCTTTGACTATCAAGAAAGTTAGAATGACTTATAATTTGGAATGATGAAAATAGTTGGAACTGTGTAAGTTTAGTCTTGGCATGTCCTATCATTTTCATCTATACAAAGATATTGGTCGACAATGTCTAAAGATAAGTACGATGTGAAAAAAAATGGTCCACAAAGCGAGAGCCTGTACAAAATATTTTGCTATAGGGGTTCAAATTTCCCAGATGTTCTGCTTGCATCATCTTTGTACAGGGAAGATTGAAACATGCATTTTAAAATGAATTCAGTTCTTTGTATGCTTGGAGGAAGGTTCCATCCTCTGACAGAAAGCTGCCTGCAACAGAAATGCAAAACACTGGTGACCACCTGTTGTAGGATTTATATCTTTTGAGCCTTTCTCTGCCAGGCAGAAACTCACATACCATGTTCTCTTTCTTGTTTGTTTGTTTCTTTCTCATCCTCTCACATTGGTTGGTTCCAATTAATCCTTTTCATTTACATTTCATCAAGGATTCAGAGATCAAAATTGATTTTCTATGATACCTAGCTCCAAATTTAACAAGATCCGCTGATTATTCTCTATATCTTTCTTGCAGCCGACAACTACAGCCATATCTGCCATGTCTGAGAATTACCTTTGATATTGTCATCGACAAAGTTCATGCTCAGAAACCTGTTATCAACACCGAGCCAACATCAGATGGAAAATTCGAAACACATATTTCCATGTCAGGTTACATGCACAGGTACATTGGAAATGAAAAAAATGAGTGCACAGGCAACAAAGGCTCAAGCTATCTACATCTCACTAAAGCATGTCACAAATGTCCTTGGATACAAGATACTTGATCTTAATCACCCTACCCTATCACGAATGATTTGTGACATAAACAGATGCAATGGACAGATCAACCTATTAGAAGCATGTGCAACATATGGTCCAATCCAAGTGGAAGAGTGGAAGAAGTACGCAGGAGCATTTCAGACACGTAATTCTCCAACTTAGTAAAGAAGATGGAAACATTATCAACACGGTTTATTTGCGTACTTCAATGAAGAACCTGCTTTGACTGCTGGAAACATACTGCATCAGAATGACCAAAGCATGGAACACATTCGCGGAGACCAAGGTACCAAAAAAACAGGGTTTTTTAGCCCTCTACATGCTTTCCCACTACCAAATCACTAACGTCTTATCTATTTCACAGAAACAGTATACTTCCACGGAAATTAAAACAAGAACTGACCAAGTTTAATGAAGTGCAAAAATCTAATCAGAGGTGTTTTGCCATCAGCCACTATGAAGGCCACCTGAAATTTAGTACCTTCTACAATCTGTATACTTTATTGCTACTATATGCCAGAACCTACAAACATTGCAAACCGCATGTAATCCTCCTTATATAATATATGTGCCAACCTACTATTAATCTTCCTGCAATCCAAACATTTAACAGCCGTTTTTCGTTGCACCATCGACCGTCTAATTCCCGTGGATCATCCTTGAAAGACGGGAAAGATATGATGGCATCTAGATCAGACTATCCTCCCAATTTCTATGCTAAATTCTATTTTGCTTCCCAACTGTCACAAAAAGAAATTAAAATAATTACATTTGAACAAGTGTTAAGGGCTTTATCCCAAGAGGAATGGAAGGCAATCACAGTGACATTTGCATTTCCATTCGTGAAAATTCACAGGCAACGTTACTTACATTTTCAGCAGCACGGGAAGGAGTAATGGTATACATTTTCAAACTGTGATCAGGGAAC